CAACAATAATGCAGTGTTGGTCCTGCACAGTCCCGGCAACATGGCTTCTTGCGCCGATTGATTTCCTACACAGCAACTGAAAACCGCAAAGCTGCTGAGTCCCGGCAGCCTAGCTTGGACTAACCTTGTTGCGCTTATTGGTCTCGTGCCAGCCGCTGAAAACCCTCAATGTTTCGGGTTTAGGCTTTCGCGATTTCTCCGCCTCTGGATCGGCGGACTGAGCCGGAGGCTCTTAAGTTATTATTCCAGGGCTTCCACAGAACGGAGATAGATCAATCGAGGGGGGATTCATTAATGCGAAGTGAACATTATGCAAAAAAGAAATCTTTTGGTCTCCGCTTTAAGCTCAGTGAAGGACATTGACCAGGATCTCGCGCGGAACCTGAAACGAGCACACGCCAGTCGCTGTAAGCAGAGCTTAACCCAAACGGAGAAAGTTTGCCTTGCTAGTTCTGCCTAAGCCTGGACAGCAAAGGAGAGGAACACTTCAAGTTCTCTTGGTATGCTCCGAGTCTCCAATTCCGAGTGAAGCTTCTGAGCTAACAACCAATTGAAGCAAGTGGTGCTTCGCGAGGCAGGTCCCCGTCAGAGAAAGATTCACATCCACGCGCAGCACCTCGGACCTGTGGGAAAAAGAAACAGCAAATGCAGATTGAGCTCCCTCAAAGCAAGGCCTCTTGAGCCAGCGCATGAGCAATGACTTGGTCTCCTCCCGCTCCTGCGGACCAAAGACTTTGTGGGTGTGATTCCGCATGCTCAAGGCCCTTCCTGGTTCTCAAAGAACTGCACGAGATAGTTGTGCACCTGAGATGGTCAAGCCAGAGGCATCTGTACGCCAGGTACGCTTCAGTTCTAAGGCCAAGACCCGTGACTGCAAATCACTCGGGACAGAGTAAACCCTCAAAAAGCGCGCGACCTGGCTGCAGGGGGTCATACGTGCTGAGCCGCTCGACCAGGACTTCAGGATTTTGATATTCTTGCTTTTATCTTGCTGCGAGAGCTCTGCCGCTCTATCCGAGCACAGCCAGCACAGCTGCAAGACAAACAAGTGCGGAACATGCTCATCTCAACTGCATGCTCAGTTCTTGTGTAAGCTCTCCAATCTGTCGCTGCACCTTGGCAAGCTGCTCGTTGGTCACAGCCGTCCTGGCAGGGCAAGGCAAAGGCGGGCTGTCTCTTCCGTGCACATCTATGTCCTCTCGCTGAGCTTGGATACAATCCTTGGTAACTCGCCCTTCCATGCCCTTAGCTCTCAGCTCAGCCAACTTGGCAGCGCACGTGGCCACGCCGTTCACCGCCACACCCACAACGAGGCTAGTCGTCGCCCTCACAGAACGGCCCCAAAAGATTGTGCCCACAAAATCTCCAACGATTGCGCAGACTTCGGTCGCGGCATGATGACGCAGAGCAAAGCTCTCTCGTTGGACAAATTCATGTTAATATCGCCCAAACCCACAGTCGACATGACCTCGATGCAATTCGATGCAATGCCGCTGCTCGCAGCTATGCCATGCCCTCGGCGCAGACATGCCTGCACAGACCTCTGACCTCTAAGCTGTCAGCGGTAATGGCAAAGTACATGGCAGTCATGTAGCGCTCACCAACAGGCACCGCCTCTGAAGACCAAAGCTGTTGCAATTTGCAACAAGGTTCGCATATCACAAAGTTCAAAGGCGAGGCAACCGGCACCTGCAAGGCTGCTGGCTCGTCGGAGATGTCCAAACCCAGCTGGTCACAGGGGCCCATCACTCCCTTTTGCTGGAAAAACTCTCTTGTTGCTTCACCACCTTGATCCAACTGGAAGTTGTCGGGTCTGCTTCCTGAGGCTGCAATTCATGAGGTCTCATGCACAGAGTTGTTGGCCAGTCGTTGCTGCGCTTGCATTTGATTTGCCATATGCTTTTTCAAGGTGAGCACCGCCACCGCCGCCACCACCACCACCACAACGCCCCGACGGTGGTTAACCCCACTGCCACCACCATACGTGTCTTGATGGCATTTCATGCCCTAATTACCCATCCGCACAACCAGCTGAGGCGTGGCGGCTGCAGCTAGCATGCAATGAAATGGAGACTTTGGGAGGAGGACGGGATGATGGTTGCAAGAGGGCGAACTGAAATCATTGCGACCCTCATTGATCAAACACCATTTACAATGGCGACCTCTCTCAGTTTGTCCGCAGTTCCCTTCCCTTTGAGCGCTGCTTCTTCTGCCAATTCAAATCTCCCGTCTCGGCACTAGGCTCATGGCTAGATTGCTCCGTCCCAGGGACCACAGGGCACAGGCCTGGATGCAGTTCAGCACTAGAGTCACTCGAGAGTTGATGCTTAGTCTGGTTAGTGTGGCTGTAAACGGTCTTGGCGAGTGCCAAGAGCAATCCTTCGCTCTTTTGACAGGCTTCAACAGCACCGAGCCGGTCTGGCTGGGAGAGGCACTGAGACATGCGAGAAGACGACTGGAAGCATAAAAAGCCTCGGTTCGGGAATCGCAATTGAATCGAGTTGGAAGCTATCTGAAACTTCTTGAGATCTGCACTGCACGAGGGCCACCACCGAGGAGACCAAAGTGGACTTCAAGTTAGCCTGGAATCCGAGGAAGTGGCTGAGAAAGTGGCCGAAGCATTGAAACGTGCATCCAAAAAAACCTCCAGGCGTCGAAGCATGCTGAAGGCCAGCCAAAGCCTGCACAGAACTGGCTCACGTGGGCTCTTAGTGCTTTGATTCGTTTCCAATTGCCTCGGAAGGCGCAAGAAGGGCGAAAAGCCCAGCCACCGCAAAGGCCTTGCAGCGAAGCTTCGGGAAACGAAGGAATCGAGCAAAGCTCAGCTCAGGCCGTGGCCAAGCACCCTTAACTTCGCTCCTCGCGCCACGTGGCAGTGGGCAAGGCAAGAACAAGAAGAATCAGAGCTCAGCTGGAGCCGGGACCTGCCGCGCATGTCCATCACAAGCAGGTGCAACCTGGCATCCATAGCAGAATCTAGCATTGCAGCATGGTCACAAAGGCACGAGTAATTTCAGACTTTCGACCCAACTGCGGCTCAAGGGGCAGCAGAGCGGGTACTGTCGCCAGGAGGTCCAAAAAGAACCAGGACCTACGGTCGAACTTCATGGTTCTCTGAAAAGCTCTGTGCTCCCTCAACCTCAGATAGTTCACTGCAATCGAGCGGGTATCGTAGTGTAGGACCTGGTGGAAAACTGTTGCCAAGCAATGCCTGGTTGAAAAACAAATCATTGCACATGCATCGCGCCTGCATTGCGTCCCGAAAGCCGGTCGTAAAATTCAGCAACTCAGCACATGCAAGGTTGCCAGGCATAAGAAATAGAGATGCATAGCGTGTTTCGTCTCAAATTGGGTGCCCGCCAAGTCGGCAACCCAGAAGAAATCCATAACTAGCAGGGCCGTGTTCAGGGCGTTGAAGAAGGGGTCCTGTCAACTGCATCAGCGATCTATCTCTGACAGCGCAACACTCTGCTGAAGTTCGTCTTGCAAGTGAAGAATCCTAAGAATACTGGCTGGCGGCCCAATAAAGCAAGCGCTTCTCAGGTTACCAAGCATGCGCCGAATGCTGGTTGCAAACCGTGAACACAAGCCTGCACAATACTGATGTCATGACATGCTGCCAGACATCTCAGGGGATGAGCAGCGCGAATTTCTGGCGAGAGGTGTCGATGGTGATGCAAGGTCAGAGGCGTTGTTTGCGACCAAATCTTGCAGTACTCTGTCTGAATACACCACACTTGGAGAGAGGGACTGGGACGAAAGCTAGAGCAGGGCCGCCCAGATCTTGAAAGTGGATTGAAGGTAAAGTGTTGGGACCTTACAAGGAGCAGGAAAGCACCAGAAGCACAGCTAGAAGGATGCTTTGGATCGAGAGCATGTGTCTTGCACAGACGCAGATACTGGTCCACCAAAGCCCGTAGGCTGCAAGCCGAACATATTATACCTCAAACTTCATATCACGGGAGCTGCGAATATGAACAGGTAGCAAGAACGGTGTTTTTGCAGCCTTGCGGAGTAGTTCCACGGATCTCACAGCACTTCGACGATTCTCATTGCGAGGGACAAGATCAGGGCAGGAGGTGATTCTGAATCTTCTTCGTTTGGGTGGAGGTCTCGTTGGTTCAAGAGGGATTCTAAGAGTGGGCTAAATTCAAGCTCTCTTGAGAGCAGAATTTGGATGCAAAAGAATGGGAAGTATGGTGGTCCAAGGAGTATCCAAAAGTGGGCTAATTGCAAGTTCTTTTGAGAGGTAAGTTGAGTGCAAAAGAACGGGAAGTTAAGATCCTCAGTTGTTGAACTTTGGCTGTGTGAAGTGGCTCGTCTGTAGTCCAATTCCATCCATGGCCACGATAACGGTGTCCACATGGGCCGATAATGGGCAGAAACTACGTGTTCTTTATGTGTTCTTTTAGGTTGGCTAATATGTTCTTTATGTGTTCTTTTAGGGTCCTAAGTCCTAAGGGAGTCAGAGAAACGACCCCCTGATGTCACCACCGAATCCCTCTCTGCCCTGCTGTCTGGCTGCCAGAACCTTCAAAACCTGCCTACCCCCTGGAAGACCTATCCCCCACACCCCTTGTTGCAAGCTAACGCTTGATAAGGAACTCAAGCTAGACCCGGAGGCTAGCTTTCGTGATGAGAAAAGCAACGCCACAAGCCAGCAAGAAAAATTGTGAACCACCGGCACACACGAAAGATCGGCAATCGTTGTTTCTCTGTGAGCAGATTCTAGTCTAGGTTCAGTCTCAACACGCATGAGAGGTCACAACCTCGGGCATGTGCTGTAGAGTGTAGAGACAAGCAAAGACGACTGCGTAGTGATGTAGTGAGGACCGTCTGATAGAGCCCGATTGGGTGGCCTGCAGGGCCTGCAGGGGCTCAGGCCCCACCCCCCAAAGTCCCACTAACCAGCCTCACATAATTCGGGGTATACTAGTGAAGCCTCTCACAATGAGCTTCCGTGACAGACAGGAAGAATTGTTTCGCGAGTCTTCAAGGCACCCTTCACATTCAGTCAGCTTCAAAGCCTGGTAGTCGATGTCGGTCACGAAAGCTGCTTGGAAAGGCCTTGAAGGGCACCACAACACTGGAAGCCCATCTGTTGGCCCTCTCTGTTCTCTGTGCCAGGCAAGAATAGGAGCTGCAGCACTAGCAGGCCACAGGCAACCCAATCCCAACCTCAAACAGTGGCACAAGTGGCAGTAGTGAAAAAGAATCCAGCCCACCAAGGTCGGGTCTCTGCCGCGACCGGCCACTTGGGTCCGTGAAGGGCCAGGACCTTGTCGCTCGCGCCTGAAAGGAGCTGTCACCAGTCCACCTGAGTTCCTCTGCGTTCCTCGATTTCATTCGCTTACGCTCCTTGCTCTTCAGCTTTTCCATCTCCGAAGCTTGCAGGATCACCGCACTCCTGGAGCATTGCGTTGGCAGAGAGCGCAAGCACTCCCAGCACTTCCAACCTCCGGGCAGATCTTCCCTGGGCTTTAATCGCGCATTTAGCCTCAAGCTGCCAGCATGAAGCCTATCAAGATTCTAGGATTCTAGGCTTCGCCTTGCCTCCAGCACGTTGGAACTCGCCCCACGGTTCCTACAGTCCATCATAGATAGAGCGGAGACAGCATGGCAGACTGACTTTCAACTTGATGGGCAGGGTACGTCGACACATTTAGGCACTATGAGGACCGGCGACCATGCGGCTTCAGAACGAAACAGCCCCTTCACCTGCCTCAAGCTCCTCCTGGGTGCATTATCACCCAGCTTCGCCTTCCGGTTGTAAGGTGCGCTCCTGGCCGCTTGAATCTTTGTCTGCTAGAAAAGTGCACCGCAATGCTTCTGGCCACCTGCCCGGAAGCCAGTGAAGGAATGGCCTGGCAACTGCATCGGCCACTCGCCGACAGAGCCTCGGAGAAAATCGAGAAAGACAACAGACAGGAGAGGCAGAGACAAACTTCTCACAACCAGAGACGGCGACAAGGTCTTCGAGTCAGACTTCTCTCGCTCGGTGTCAAAGAAGTGTGGCAAAATCTCCAGGCTGTTCCTTAGGAAGTTTTCCAGGCGTCTGCTCTGCATCTCTCTCTGTGTCCAGGTTGCCGGCATCGCCCTTACAGCACTTGCCCTGCGACACCGCGCATCAACGAAGTGTCAACTCACGGCTCCCTTTCGTGGTTCCTCCGCTCCGTCCGGACGGTGGAGTGCACACTGTGGGAATCCTGTAACAAACAGGGAACACAGATTTGTGGTTTGGTGTACGTACTCCCAAGTGACAAGCCGCTAGTGTTCAGGCATCACACTGCAGGTTGGAATTTTTGACGGAACCCGGTTCCCTGCCTGTTCCTTCAACAGAAATTCTGGAAGCCCCTCTAGGCATAGCAGCATAGCTCTCCTCCGTGTCATTCAAAGAGCTTGTCTCTGAGGACGTGTCCTGCCCCAGGTCGGCCTCAACGTGGCGTCAGAAGGAAGCTATTCTTGAAAACCGCCCCTTTGCCCCTTCTCTCACCCTCAGTGCCAAGACTGCGATTGTAACCAGCACCATCCCTATGATTCATGCATTGCGGCTTACAACAATCAATATCTGTGGTTTACCACACGAGGGG